CTTAGATGTAGAGGGCGCAGCATCACTGGCCCTCATGTGGGATCTGAACCGGGGCTCTGATGCTCAGAGCTGGCGCTCCCAAGCCAACTTTTAATCAGCCGCCACTCGGCTGGCCCTGAAAAAGTAACTTTTAATGAGCAAAGAATCCCCTACCACCCCATTCTTACTGATTTTTCCCTGCGGTCATATCTCTATTTGCAAGTCCTCTATTAAAATGAAAATGCTACAGGGACAAGCTAAGCTTCATTAGTAACTTTTTGTCTAGCCAGATGAGAAGAGGGTCTTACTGGACTGGTTCTGTAAAAAAAAACAAAAAAAAAACCTCTCTTCAGCTTTTGCCCTCCTACCTGAAGCTAACCCAGACAGGATCAGAGGGTACTCAGTTTGCAAGACTCACAAACAGACTGCAGCTACATCCCTGAGAACCCTTCCCATCGGGTTCTGCATAGCTTACACTCAGTCAGACAACTTACATCCTGCTGTCACGGCAGGAGGACAAAAGACCTTGAAAGGAACGGTCAGTGCCTGAGGATCATTCTTCCTTCTCGTTTTTTGGCCACTGAGGTCACTGTCTGGTTCCATTTGATCCTGGACTCCAGACTACTGTTTATTTTGGAAACAGGGACTTTGAAGTCAGAAAATCTGTTTAGTTTCCAACCCCATTACTAGCTTTTTGACCTTGAGCAAGTCGCTTACATGCTCTGATCATCAGCGTCTTCATTTTTATAAATGAGGATCATGATATCCTCTCTTAGAAGACTGACACAGGGACTGAGTTGGATAAAGTAATACAATATCTGTGACTTTTGTTTGGAGGAATTATGAAGTATTAAACAAATTCCAGTTTAATCAGCCTATAAGAACAAAGTTTACCCAGAAATGGGAAGATGAAAATGAACACAACTCTAGAAATGGTAAACATATAATGGATGACATTAGTTCTCTGTAAGTCATCCGTCATAAAAAGGCCATTTGGGTTTCTCTACCCTAAGTCCAATAAGGTGATTAGGTACCTCAGCAAAAATGATTATTTAAAATTAAGCTGTAACCTAATGTTACTGAAATTTTAATGAATGAAGAATGTGTTAAAAGAAGGTGGTGGTATAAGTGGATTTTTTAGAAAAGAGGGGAGGGGTGTGGCAAAGAAGAAGAATTTGGAAATATTTATCCTACAGTGTCCAAGGGAAATGGATACTGACTCAGCAGGTATTATGATTTTGAGAGACAGATGTTCTGTGTTATAAAACAAGCTTAATATGTCAGTCCTCACTGAGGTGTACTGAAATCTCCTTTCAAGACTATTTGGCTTCCTTTATTCTGATTCTATATTCACCAAGCCATCTTTTGATTACTAATTGGATCAACAGAAGTAAAAACCAGATCTACACTGATGTGACCCCCACAAGGACACTATGAGAGCCTGTAGGTGGGAAGTCAGCCTTTCTTCTGACTTCTCATTAGCTATTTTTATCGAGAAGGTACTTTGCATATTTATCAAGAGCTATATAACTGTTCTCTTTTTTTTTTTGGACTCTATACTTTTGTTTCTAGGTTATAATGCCAATGTGGGAAAATGTTTACAAGGTTGAAAATCACGGAATTATATACACTTTAAAAAAAGAGAAAGCAACCTGATAATTATAGTACTCCTACTCTATAGATATTTCATAATAATTTAAAATAATGGTTATAAAGAATACAATAGAGCGGAGTCACAAACTCAAATGTCCACAGGATCAGGAAAGAAACAATGAAGATAGAAGCAGACTGGCTTAAGAAACGACAGGGAATGATGAAGATTGTGGAGAACTACCAGCTAACGAGAGCAGCCACTCCTCAGCGTGGCTCATTTACTGCCAGAGAGGAAAGTGGACCCAGTGTTGCCAAATCATCTGATTTTTCGAAAGAATCTGGAAGTCAGGATCTTTGTGAATTATCTTGACTTTTACACATTGGCAATTAATTCAATCTGAAAAAAAACCCAATACTGCGTGAGCTAATATTATGAAAGTCAAATAAAACATGAGTATGGCTTGGATTTAGCCTGGAGTCCACTAATTTAAATTCTGCTCTGCAACTTTGAAAAATGCATGTTAAAATATTAAAAAAATAACAACCCCACAAAATATTGGAACATAAGTTAAATTATACAAATGCAATGTGTTCTTCTCATAAACCGAGATATATCAAAACTATCCACATGTGTCACATGTAATATAAGCTGGTAATAAAGATTGTTATTAATGTCAATTTTTATCTCCATGAAAATGGTCATCATCTGTACTACTCAGACATCTATGTCACATTGCATTTTATTCTTTTAAATCTGGGATTGACTTGCAAAATCAACTTAACATATTCTATACTTTTTAATATACTTGAGATGGAAATGCATTTCTTCCTAGCAAAGGAAACTATAATGTTGAGATTTTGAATAATGTTTTGAATCATCACACATAGAAGGATGATATTAAAGAAAACTATGGATACATATATGTAAAATAATAAAAATTAAGACTAGGTTGACATGACAGACTTTATATATGTCTAAACTTCCCATCCTAAGTCCAATGAAATGAAAGAAATGACTTTAAAAAAATAAATTCAAAATTTCAGTGAAAGCAAGAAAGTGCTAAGCAGAAAACAAATTTAGAGAGTTTCTTAAAGGATAGGAAACAGGTAGAACCAGATCAGAGAAACAAGATCAGAGGAAGCTGAGTTCTAAACATTTATAGGAAAAAAAACAGCTGTGAAGGTAGGTGCAGTTTCAAGGAGCTTCAAACTTAGACTCAATTCAATGAAGAACAGGTAGAGGTTCTGAGGCAAACATCAGGATAAAAGGTGCACCAGGTACAGCAAAACACATTCTTTCCTTCTCTGGATTATGTTAATAAGTAGCTGAGTGAACAAAGCAGCTAATATAAAAGCATTGGCGTCTAAGCTACTGCTTGTTGATACTTGAGGTCCTCTATCATCACCCCCTGACTCCTAGCTTTCTTCAATATGACAATGGGTCAGGATGTGTGCTAACCAGGAGAAGTGGTGGGGATAAGGAAGAGGAGGAAAAATTATTTACTAAGGAATATGGAAGAATGTTTCAGGATATGTCTCTTGAGCTTAATTGGCAGAATTTGCACTATGGGGCTATAACAGCCAGAGGATCTAAATACGCCAGTTAGACACAATGCTGCCAGCATAACAGACTTTCATTAACTAGCTAAAAGGTTAAAGAAGGAACTAGTTGCTTGCAACAGATTAGGGCTTGGAGAGGGAGAGCAGGTTAGCACTATCTCCTTTACGCTTTCCCCTTCCCTGCTGCTGGTTACTGCTCTCTTCTTTTCTGTCTGCATCCTTCCTCCCTTGGAACCAAGAAAACAGAATTGTTGGATCCACAAAGCAACCTTATGTAACTATAACAAGATTCATTCAAGTGTGACTCCTAAAAGGAGGGTGTATGTCTTTGGTTTTCATTCAGTCAACTTGCCCCCTTTCCTTCACGGCCCGCTAAGGAAAGTTCTCTTTTGCACTGTCCAATTTCCCAGGTCTTATTATGATTCGATTCCAAGAAGATAAGTAGAGAAAGTCAAGACTGGAAAGCTGAGAGGAAAGATGGAAGAATTCCTGCTTGGTCTGTCAGTTTCTGGACTCAACTTTATTGTAGAGAATATAAGTAATGGGCAAGAAAAAGAGAAAAATAAGAAAAGAAGCCAGAAAGACTAAGTCTGTCCATCCAATGAAGACTTGGGGAGTGGAGACAAGAACAAAAGAACAACAACCTCAGGCTGGGGTACCAGATAAACTCAGTCTTTTAGTGAGGAGGGATTTCTGAGCAGCACTAAGGGAAAGAATTGGAGAGAAGAATAAAACGTAGTGCAAAAAGCATTGTTATGGGTTACAATTTAGTTTTCTTTAACATTCTTTGAGAGAAGCAAGTCAAGACTGAGATTCCTTTTAAATTCCTTTTGGGGGCTGGACTGTGCTTCTCTATATGCAACTCTGCCGAGATGGTCCACCAGAGCTTTAGTATTCATGAAGGTTAGGGACTTGGGTGGTCAAGAGAGGTGGAGGGAAAATGGCATAGGTATAATCAGGGGTTCCAGCAGCTATGTGAACTTCTTCCCTTGTCCAAGTTACTCATGTTCCAAATATTAAAATTAAAAGGAATTTCTAAATATAATGGCAGCTTTTAGTCATTAATATGTCTTCTTCCCTCTCTCTCAAATACACATAAAGCTTTAAAGATCTGCTTTGAGGAATTAGAGAGAGGAATAAAAATTAGTCAGTTGTTCTTGATTCCAGTTCAATTTTTTGTCACTGTTCTTTACAGAGACAAATATCTCAAAGCTCAATGAAGCTTGCTAGGAGTGGTGGTTGAGAAGGATTCATATATTCTCCACATAATTCTCCACATGTGATTTAGAATAAAACTATGAGAAAGAAATTAAAGCAATTATGAAAACTTCATTACTTGAATTTCTTTAATAAGCACCAGGTAACTCTATATTAGTATAGAACTCCAGGGCAAGGCCTACCCTAAGCCAAATATCAAAGTAGACCAAGTTAGTTCATAGGGAATATAATGTGCTTTTCTTTCTACACATATTTGCATTGCACAAGGCCAAAGAAATCCTTATCAGAATGTTCAGCCTTCACTGGTAAATGAAAAATACACTTTAAGGCAGACAGGCGCCATGGCGGCCTATGAGCAGGTCCAACAGGGGCCCCTGAAGCTGACAGGCACCGCAGAGCTCGGCGTGACCAAGTGGAAGAAGAAAAAGGACAAACACAAGGCAAAACTCCTAGAACCAATGGGAACGAGCAAAAAGAACGAGGAGGAAAAGCGGCACAGTCTGGACAAGTGGACCCCGGCCCAGCTGGCCTTCGAGAAGATGCAGGAGAAGCAGCAAATGGAAAGGATCCTGAAGAAAGCATCCAAAACCCACAAGCAAATTGTGGAGGACTTCAACAGACACTTGGATGCATTCACGGAGCACTGTGACATTCCCAGAGTCAGCTGAACAAAGTAGCCTCCCCACCTGGGATATGGAGTGGCACCAAGGGGAAACAGAAGGCCACGTTGGGTTGTTTGGTGCCTTTGGTATTTTTTAGAAACATTCTTTTACACACACCATTGCGTCTTCTGTTGAGACAGTGCTTTTCAAAGCAGTGTACCCTCATCCTGGAACTTGATTAAAGTAAGACTGTCCTTTTGCTCTAAAATACANTATTATTTTTGAAAAGTGCTCAGCTATTATTATTGTACTTTTCTATCATTAATAGCTAATTAAATATTAGATTTATAGCCAATTGTATAAAGACTCAGGTATATCTCCCCTAGTCAAGCACATAAACCCTATCACAATGTCACTTTTAAAGGAAAACCGAATTAAACTTAAAAATTATTCCCACTTAAAATGCCTTTTCCAGGAATGCAACTCAAGATGAGGTCTTCCTATGTGCTATAAAATCTTTTCTTTCTTATTTTAACTTCCATGTATACATATATATGTGGCATACATATGTGTGTGTTTCTATATATATGGTGATTAGCAACTGCCCCTGTTCATCTGCCCTTCCATCTGCAACAGGGACAGTGCCAGATACAGTGCTTAGCTCATTTTTTCTTGGACACACTCCATTACCAATTCATATATTTCACTGAATCTAAAAGAACCAAGAAAGATCTGATAGTTTTGGTGATTAAAAAACTTCCCGCCAGCATACATTTTCAGCAATTGCCAAAGGTGTCACACAGTGATAAATTGCTCCTGCAAGGACTTGATCAATTTATTTCTCTTGATCTTCAGGTTTCATCCTGCCTATAAACAAAGTCCCTAAGAATATTTTGGCGCAGCTGTTAGCAGCATCCTTGAGATACTGACTGACTGTACCTCCCTTTCATGATAGCAATTCTCAGACTAAAAAAGACTCATAAAAATAGGATTTCTAGATCTAAAAACAAAGAATTTTTAAAATTCAAAGGACACATTTATGAGTACATATCTGTTTGTCTTAGTAGCATTTGAAAATGCATTTGATGGCATTTACAAATCATGTGGAGGTTTTTTCCCTTAGAATAATTTGCATGTGTAAAAGTTGCACAGATTAGAAGGCAGTCTCAAATTTTTCCTAAAAGCAAAGAGTTGTAGTAGAGTAGTGGTATGCACATTAGCACTAGCTAAAGCATATACAAATCTAGTAATCAATTCAAATGTCATGGAAAACAGCATTCTATCCCTACATAGGTTTCAACCACCAAGAATAGAGCAATTTTTCTGCAATAGATACTACTAGAATTCTAATTATGATTTAAATATGCTTAGAATATATACTAATTCAGCTAAAATGTAGCAATACATTTGAAAGATTTCAAATACATACTACTCAATAAAGGCATATGATTTATTTCAGCTTCTTTGTAAACATCAAGGTCACTAAACCTGGAGGAGCTAGGTTCCAACTTTTGTTCAACTCCAAAATATTTAGTTGCTCTTAATCACCCATTCTGAGCCTTTTGAAGAAGCATCTTGTTTCTAATCTCTACAGAAGAAATGAATGTTACTTTAATGCTCTCCCCAGTCTCGGTCATTGGGGTATAATAAGGAACTGGGGAATATATTCACCAACTGATATTTCAAAAGTCAACAACAGGAAACCCATATGCCAGAAAAATGATTTGTTGAACATTCCCTTTTCATATGAAAATGCCAGAGGTCCCTGGAGACAGAAATATATCTTATTTTTATTTTTAGAAGTTGTACTGTAATGCTTATTTTAAGTAGACAGGAATTATAATGAACTTATCATAACAGTAGTTTTATACAAAAATCTTCCTATTAAATGGTTTTAGAAATCATTTTAAGAGAATAAAAACCTGAAGGGAATATAAGAATTCCTTATATTAAGCATTTTGTTCATTATTTTAAAATTCATAATGCAACCTTTTCAATGTTTAGAAAAACAATGAAATAATAACTTTTTTTTTTTAATTGAACCGGCAGCCCTGTTGCTCAGAGCTTGTGCTCTTAAGCCAACTCTTAACCAACTGAGCCACTTGGCCAGCCATACTTTTTTTTTTTTTTTAAGATTTTATTGGGGAATTGGGGGAGGGGAACAGACAAGTTGCTGTCCTTTTGTTCTTCAGTCTAGTTGNCATTCATCTGCTGATGGACATTTAGATTGTTTCCACATCATGGCTATTGGAAAGAGTGCTGCAATGAACATAGGAATGGTAACATCTCTTTGAGATCCTGATTTCAATTCTTCTGAATAAACAGAATTGAGACTGTTGAATTATTTAATAGTTCTATTTTTAATTTTTCAAAGAACCTCTATGCTGGTATCCATGGTGGCTGCACCATTCCACCAACAGTGCACAAGAGTTTTAATTTCTCCACATTCTTCCCAACATTTGTCTTTTTTTAAATAATAGCCATCTTGACAGGTGTGAAGTCATATCTCATTGTAGTTTGGATTTGTATTTCCCTGATGATATTGATGTTGAACATTTTTTCATATACCTGTTGGTCAATTGTTCGTCTTCTTTGGAGAAATGTCAATTTAGGTCCTTAATTCATTATTAATCAGGTTATTAGTTGAGCTGTAGGAGTTTCTTAAATATTTTGGAGATTACCCTCTTGTCAGATATATGGTTTCTGAGTATTTTCTGCCATTCCATAGGTTACCTTTTTACTCTGTTGATTGTTTGCTTTGCCGTGTAGCTTTTTAAGTTTGATATGGCCCCACCTATCTGTTTTTGCTTTTGCTGCCTGTGCTTTTGGTGTCATAGCCATGAAATCACCACCAACACCAATACCATGAAACTTTTCCTTTATGTTTTCTTCTGGGAGTTTTATAGTTTAAGTCTTTAATCCATTTTGAGTTGTTTTGTATATAGTTTAAGATAAAGGAGGATGTTGAATTTTGTCAAATGCTTTTTCTGTATCTATTGAGAAAATCACATGATTTTAATCCTGTATTCTGTTAATGTGGTATATCACATTGATTTTTATATGTTGAACCATCCTTCCATCTCAGGGATAAATCCGACTTGGTCATGCTGTATAATCCTTTTAATGTACAATAAGTCTTCATTCAAAGTCTTTGATAGGTTCTTAGAACTGCGACGAAATAAGATATAACAAACCAATTTTACCACAGGCAAATTGATATAAAGAAGAGCTAAGTTCCTACAGCATTTCATAAATGTTATAACAAAACAACATTGAATGAAACGGCATTATTCAAGGACCTGATATACCACTGGATTCAGTTTGTTGGTATTTTGTTAATGATTTTTGCATCTATATTGATCAAGGATATTATCTATAGTTTTCTTTTCTTGTAGTGTCTGTATCTGGCTTTGGTATCAGGGTAATGCTGGCCTCATAAAATGAGTTTGGAATTGCTCCTTCCTCTTTAATATTATTGGAAGAGTTTGAGAAGGATTGGTATTAACTCTTCTTTAAATATTTTGTAGAATTCACCAATGAAGCCATCTCGTCCTGGGCTTTTCTTTGTTGGGAATTTTGATTACTGATTCAATCTCCACACTAGTTACAGGTTTGTTCAGACTTTCTATTTCTTCATGATTAGCCTTGGTATGTTGTATATTTCTAGGAATTTATCCAATTATTCTAGGTTATCCAGTGTTGGCAATTAATATATTTGTTCCTCTGTATGTGCCTTTTTTCTTTGACTTCAAGATTTTCACTTTTCCTTTGGTTTTAAGAAATGTGAATATGATATGTCAGGAAGGGATGAGTGTNAGGTGTCCTTCCCTCTGGATTCCCGTGATGTGTGATAACTCTGAACTTTGTGCCTCCAGCTATACTTACTCTTTGAGGAGCCTGTCTCCTCCACTGAGCTGTAAGATTTTTAAAATTTCAGTTTTACTGAGGTATAATTTACATATAGAATTGTAAGATATTTAAAGTGTACATAATGATGATTTGATATACATATAAATTGTGAAAGGTTTCCCCCCATTTAGGTAATTAATACAGCCATCACGTCACATATTTATCATTGTGTGTGTGTGAGAGAGAACATTTAGGCTCCACTCCATTGGCAAATTTCAATTACACAATAAGGTGTTATCAACTGCAGTCACCACGTATGATATTAAATCCTCAGACCTTATTCATCTTACAGTTGTGAATTTGTACCCTTTTACCAACGTCTCCCTATTTCAACTATGAGATCTTTTAAGGGAAGGCTCTGTCACATGTTCCAAGGAACTAGAACTCTGCCTGAAAATACAAAAGTGCTTAATCAGTGTTTGCTGTTAGGATAAGATACATCAGCCATTCTCAAATGTTTTGGTCTCAGGATCCCTATACACCATTGAAAATAATTGAGGATTTAAAGAGCTTTGATTTATATGGATTGTATCTACCATATTAGATAGTAAAACTGAGAAATTTGTGAAATATGTATTAATTTAAGAAAGGTAACGCCTAGCATTATTATGAAAATAACTGTGACTCCAAGGACTGACTCTCTAAAAGGATCTCAGGGACCCCCTAAGAGTCCCAGACCACAATAAAATGGTATAGTGGGGGATTTTTTTGGTTTAATTATAAAATGTGTTTTCATTCATATGAAAGTTAAAGTATTTGGAAAGGGTGAAGGGCAAGTGAAAAGATACAAGAAAGGAAGGGAGATACAACCTTAGCCATAGCTAGAGAAAACTGCTGGGATAGGGAGGCAAAGAAGAGGAAGAATGGTAATAAAGTACAAACAGCACCAGTCTTAGGAGAAATAATAAAGAAGCTAAAAGTAACTCCACAAAAAATCAAAAACAAGAATAACACTGAAGGCCAAAAGTTTGATCAAAATCTTAAATAGACATTGGTCATTTAGGTATGAAATGCACCATTTTGACAAATCTATCCCATCTCACTCCCATCTTTTTGTCATTCTCAATCCTCTTTGTTCTTTTTTACATGCTCCTCTTCCCTTCCCCTCTGGAACTCTTGCTTTGTAGTCACTGGCTGAAAAAAGGCTGCTCAAATGT